TTACTTCTGCCATCCTCAACATAAAGGTTTGCAGACACAATACATCAGTTGTAAAGCAATTTAGAAATATTTACAATAAAACTTGAAACCTGTCGTTACAATTATTTTACACAATGTTTCACACAATATAAGAAACAGTTTATGGGTCTACAACTTTCTTTTCTTCATTAGTTACTTTTAGTGTCAAAAGAATTGATGGTTAGATAATAGAAAGAAACATGAGATTGACCAAAGAATCAAGTTATTCCCCAGCAAATTCCAACCGTTGGGACAAATTGAAACCTTGGCCCAAGGTACAAGAAGAAATTGAACAAATTCTAGAAGAACCAGAGAAATTTGACTACAGTATCACTTTAAGCCATGGACCACAGGTATAGATGGAATTAGATCAATTTATTAAATTATATTTTCAATTAAATTGTTTATGATCATATTGTCAAATTTCTTTATTTCTGTCAAAGATATCCAACATGAAAGTTCATAGTTGTTCATATGTAGTTTATTGTTTGTGAAAAATGTACCCCCTTACTAAAAAATTACGACCTAGATATTCTTAAGAGTTGTAATCTTTAAACACTTATCCAATTAGTTATATGACCACTATTTGTTATCAATTCATCTAATCATTTCAAATAAAACTGATTTTATATATTCCAGTTGCTCCACACCATGCGGCATTCTAATCCAATTCATTGTATGTTGCATTATAAAACTAAAAATGGGGAAGTTTTTACAACTCATGGTTGTCATGGTTCCTGTAGCCATGTCTCTGTCTGGACACTGGAACCAGAGAATGGGGTTAGCTTCCGCAGGTAGGTCATCTGTATCTTCTCAAAAAACTCTGTAAATCATACACATCAGTTAATGGTCATATATTGCAATTACCTTTTCTTGTAAATTTATTATTTTCGACAGAGCAAACTATTTTGCATTCTGTAGTTGCTCTTTCAATATCAATCTGATTTGAGATAAAGGCTGAATTAATTTGAAATTACAGTACTAGATCTAACTAGTATTGATAATTCAAGCCACAACTTTATTCTTTCAGATTTGAAATGCCGAATATTTATTCCACTATGGTATTTGTTACAAAACATAGGGTAAGACCAATTCTTGTCTTTGTGTTAGAATTAAGCTTGAAACTTTGTACAAATCCAGTTGTATACCATTTTGCTTGCAAAATAAAATCAAATGCCATTCCATTTGTATAAGCCCACATGAAATGGATGAATCCTATTGAAAATCAGAAAAATCGAAAAATATTTTGTACGAGTTATTGCCCTTGTTCTTGAAACACTCGTAAACACTCTAGAAGGCACAATTCTCGACGGATTTTGGCGAAACTTGGTGTGAGTGTTCGTAATCACCCAAGGATGAACCCTATTGAAAATCAGATGAATCAAAAAAATATAGGATGAGTTATTGCCCTTGTTCTTGAAAATGCGTTCAATTTTTAGCTTGTAAACACTGTAGAAGGCACAATTCTTGACAGATTTTAACAAAACTTGGCTTGAGTGTTTGTTATCACCCATGGATAAAGCATATTGAAAATCAGAAAAATCGAAAATATTTAGTATGAGTTATTGAGTAAAAACTCTAGAAGGCATGATTCTTGCCGGATTTGACAAACCTTGGTTTTATTATTCAGTACCGCTCTGAAAATGGAATATTTGTCTTCTAGAGTTTTCACGAGCAAAGATTGAACATGTTTTCAAGAACAAGGGGATTAACTCATACTCAATATTATTCACCCTAAAGAGTTCAAAAGAAGTGTATGACTGAAGGTTGAATATTTCATACTGGTGACTGTTACTGTACTGCTAAATATTTTTATCAAAATCAAAGATGCCAGTGGGCGTATATTACCTTGCCTGGCAAACTATCATATTTTTTGTAGGTATACATGACATTCAGTGAATTAGATATGACTATCAGAATATTCACGGAACCTAAAAGTAGCTGTAAAGAAGTTGGTTGTAGACTCAGTTTAACACAAGTCTTATGGTAAGTATTGAAAATCTAAAAGATTCTCATTATAGGTTAGTTTAGTTTAGTGTAATAGAAATTTTAGGTCTAGTTTACAATGATCTCTAGTTTAGTGTAATAGAAATTTTAGGTCTAGTTAACAATGATCTCTAGTTTAGTTTAATAGAAATTTTAGGTCTAGTTTACAATGATCTCTAGTTTAGTTTAATAGAAATTTTAGGTCAGTTTACAATGATCTCTAGTTTAGTTTAATAGAAATTTTAGGTCTAGTTTACAATGATCTCTAGTTTAGTTTAATAGAAATTTTAGGTCTAGTTTACAATGATCTCTAGTTTAGTTTAATAGAAATTTTAGGTCTAGTTAACAATGATCTTTAGTTTAGTTTAATAGAAATTTTAGGTCTAGTTTACAATGATCTCTAGTTTAGTTTAATAGAAATTTTAGGTCTAGTTTACAATGATCTCTAGTTTAGTTTAATAGAAATTTTAGGTCAGTTTACAATGATCTCTAGTTTAGTTTAATAGAAATTTTAGGTCTAGTTTACAATGATCTTTAGTTTAGTTTAATAGAAATTTTAGGTCTAGTTTACAATGATCTCTAGTTTAGTTTAATTGAAATTTTAGGTCTGGTTTACAATGATCTCTGGTTTAGTTTGATAGAAATTTTAGGTCTAGTTTACAATGATCTCTAGTTTAGTTTAATTGAAATTTTAGGTCTGGTTTACAATGATCTCTTGTTTAGTTTAATTGAAATTATAGGTTAGTTTACAATGATCTCTAGTTTAGTTTGATAGAAATTTTAGGTCTAGTTTACAATGATCTCTGGCATAGTTTGATAGAAATTTTAGGTCTAGTTAACAATTATCTCTAGTATAGTTTAATTGAAATTTTAGGTCTAGTTTACAATGATCTCTAGTTTAGTTTAATTGAAATTTTAGGTCTAGTTTACAATGATCTCTGGTTTAATT